GCTCCTCCCCGCGGGCCCCGCTGCGGGCCGTGTTTTCCTTTCCCCTGCGCCCGGGGCCTTTCCAGCGAGCAAATGTCAGGCGCATAAAGAGCGGCACTGTGAGCGGAAGATGGAGCGCGCAGGCCTGCCCGCGGCCCTCCGAAAGTGCCGCCTCACACTTCATCAAGGCAGCCTTTGCGAGCGAGGCTGCCGCCCAACAACCAGCAGTCTATCCCGGCCCGCGACCGCAGCAGCCTGCCGCTCAATACCCTTTTCTTCGGCGCTTGTGCCGCCCCAGCGGCTTGGGTTACAGCCCCGCTCGCGGGCCGCGGGGCTCCGCATTGTGCCGCCGCCGCGTCGGGGTGGCTGCAGCTCCCCCGCGYGGGGACGCCGGGGGGTCCTGGCCCTGCGCTGCCCTCCGGCAGCTCCTTCCTCTTCCAGGGATACGTGCAGGGGAGAGGAGGGCTGGGGCACGCAGGTGGTGGGCAGGGAAGCAGGGATCCTGCATCACCTCTTTCCAGCTGCTATAGGAGCAGCCCATGAGGACCAGCCTGGGCTCTGCAGAGAGGTTCCTGGTCTCCCAGTGGGCATCAAGCTCCTAAAGCCCAAGGGATCCCTGAGAGAGGCTGGGAAATGTTGCCGAGTGCCGGGGCAGCTGCTGGCAGAACCTCAGCTCTGTCCTGGCCATGAGCACGAGCCCTCCCATGCAGCAGCCCAGCGGGGGCCGCACCGGGACGGGGGCAGCTGGAGCTGGGTGCCACTTGTGCTCCTGATGGGCGCTGTGCAGGGAGGAGGCAAAGGTGCAACAGGTCCACGCAAGCCAAGGCCTGCGAGGACTCGCTGCTGGTTTCCAGGAAGGCAGGRACACAAGCTGGTGGCACCTAGGGGCATCGCCTCTGCCAGCCAGGCCCGCCAGCAACACGAGGTGCCTCTTCCAATGGTCAGGAGCTGGAAGAACAGCCCATGAGCAAGCCCAGGAGCAAAAGGGATCAGGACTCGCTCATCAGGTCTCTCCTGATGCTCTCATCCAGGCTGCTCCCCCAAGGGACGGCTCAGGGACAGTCCCTCTTCTCTGCAGGGAAGTTGGGTGGCTCACGCCAGGTTGTTATTGCAGGGTGGCTCGGCAAAGCTGGACACATCACCCGGGTTTATTATTGTAGGGTTGGCTCTGCGAGGCACGCCAGCTCATGCTGGGTTATTATTGTCCGTCCAGGAAAGCTGGACGCATCTCCCTGGTTTGTTATTGTAGGGTTTCTCAGGAAAGCTGGCCAGCTCATCCCGGCGTGTTGTTGCTCAGGGCTTACGGGGGGCTGGCCTGGGGCTGCCAGGAAACTTCC